GAGTTGAGTCACCAAATACCCACTGATTCAGCGGACCTACTCTAGTGCATCTTACTATGCTAAGCAACAGAATTTCAGCTCATCTTTCAAGTTCCCATCTAACATTTCAATTCAATTGTTACTTCCCACTAGCTGCTAACCAGATTTCCCTATGCAGCAGTCTGGACAATTGATCCTATTTCTACCATGGAACAATATATAAAAACAATTTCCACTAAGAGAATTCTGTCACTTGAGGCAACAGCTTTGGTGATGCTTTATAGACACCATCAATATATCTTTGCTTGCAAAAGCTTAAGAAAAAACAAGGGGTAGATGGTCATAATTGTGTCTATACAGGATATCAAAATACATTTACAGTTCTGAAGGGCTTATGGAATTCAGTTACAACTATAATCATCAACTTTAAAGGGAAGCACCTACAGTCGACCCTCGACTTACAGATGGCTCAACTTACAGACTTTTCGAGTTACAGACTTCTCTGGCGCAAAATTTAGGTTCGACTTGCTGTATTTCTTCTTCCATGTCTTGATCTTATAAACCCTGCATCTAAGCTTTGTGACTACAGTGGAAGGGCTGGTTATATAATTTTTAAACAAAGTAACTCAAGAGCCAGATCTGTTCAGAGATTAAAGAGTTCACCTGTCCCCCATTCCATGGATCCGAAAGGTATCTCCAGGATGACAGGGATATCTAGGGATCCCTAGAACCTGGGAGGAGTGGGGTGGCATAGGAAACTTTTAATTCCCACTGTTATACACTGACTGCTGGGGGAGATAATCACTTTAGACCAGGGGTCTCAAACTCAATTTACCTGGGGGCCACTGGAGGCAGAGTCTGGGTGAGGCTGGGCCGCATCAGATTTTCCGCCAAGCGGAGCAAGAGCCCGAGGAAGCCACCCAGGAGTTTCCTTAGTCCTCCTCCTCCGAGGAGGAAGGGTGTGCGAGCCCTCGTCACTGGCCACAACCCCCTCCAGCTCCTTCTTCACTACTAGCAGCAGCAGCAGGACGAAGAAGCGGAGAAGAGAGGGAGAGCCGGCGACCGCCTAGCGGGGGGGAGGGCACGACATAATTTTTTTTAAAAAACTCACAGAATCGCCTTGCCAAAGGAGAAAAGCCCCCATCCGTACCTGCAAAATTAAACAGAATGGGGCGGGGGGGCCACAGGTGCACATGCGCGCGCACACACACACACACACGGACGTCTGGCAACCTTCCTCTGAAGGCCCCCCTCAAAAAAAGGCACACTCAGCAGCAGCAGCTCCCCCCACCACAACAGAGGAGCAACCTTTGTGAGGCAGCCTCCAGAGCTGAGGCGGCTGAAGCAGGACAAAGAGGAGGAGGAGGAAGCGCTGCTGGGGGCTGAGGCAGCCGCTGGCCGGGCTGGTGCTGGGGGTGCCGAGAGAGAAAGAGAGCCAGGTAGCCACTTCCCTGGAAGAGACGGTGGCAGCTGCTGTTGGCGGCTTGGAGGCGCTCTTCGAGGCCAGGCCAGGAGCGAGCTCCGCTCTCAGGCATCGCTTGGCTGCAGCTCGGGGAAAACGGCTGGCAGCATGCCTCGCTTGCCAGCTCTCCCCCAAGATAATCACTTCTTGCACCCTCCATCCAGAACTTAATCCTGCCAGGGAGCAGACAGGTGGGCTGGCTGGCAGGCTGCAGTTCCAGATGGAGGGTGCAAGAGGTGCTGTCTTGGGAGAGAGCCAGCGAGCAAGGCGAGGCTTTTTTTAAACTCTTGACAGCAGAGGCCGCGTGGGCGCGTCGGGGGGCAGGCAAAGCAGGGTCCACAAACTATCATCCGCCGGGCTGCAAATGGCCCCCGGGCCGCAAGTTTGAGACCCCTGATTTAGAGTTTTGTGTCATCAACACGCGGACAACACCCAACTATCTCTCGGTTTATTTTTCTGCAATGGATGCCGTTCCATCTCCTGAGCACTGTCTGACTGTGGTACCGGAGTGGATGGGGACTAACAGACTGAAATTGAATCCAGACAAGACAAAGGTCCTCTGGGTGGGAGCTCCTGCTGACTGTGGATTGAGGGCTCCCTTATCCTTCGGGGCCCCAATCTCTCTGCTAAGGATGAGATTGACAGGATGGGCATTCTTTTGGACCTGGTGCTGTCGATGGACACTCAGTGTTTGTGGTCCAGTCTGCCCTCTTCCATCTCAGGCAGACTGCTCAGCTGCATCCCTACCTTGACAGCAGGTCCCCATCACAATGATCCATGCCTTGACAGTCTCAAAAAATAGCTACTATAATGCCCTCTAGGTGGAGCTGTTATTAAGACTGATCCAGAAACTGCAGCAGGTCCAGAATATGGCGGCCAGACTAGTTAAGGGATTCAATAAATACCAACATATTCCCCCAATACTGGCCGTCTTGCACTGGTTACTGGTCTGTTCCTGGTACTGGTTCAGGTTCAAGGTACTGGTCATGATCTATAAAGCCCTAAATGGGAGCCTCAGTACATACTTGAACACCTCCTTCCAGGAGGGGCTGTCTGCCCTACCCATGCATCACCGACTGGGCAGCTGAGGATGCTGACCCCAAGGTCTGGAAGGAGAAAATAAAGCAATCGGACCTTCTAGGTGGTTGCTTCCCTGCTCTGGAATGAACTGTCTGCCCAAATTCGCCTGTCCCCTTCCTTGGAGATTTTAAAGAAATCTTTAATGACATTTTTATTCTGACAGGCCTTCCAAACCATACCATCCTAACAGTTCCACTGAGACTACAGACTATTTGCATAACACCTACAGCTATTGCCTGATTTTAATTAATTTTAATGTTGTTGTTGAATTATATGTTTCATGTTGTTTAATGTTGTACACTGCCTAGAGTGACAATTGGTCAGATGGGCAGCTTAGAAGTTTAATAAATATTTGGGTGGATAGAATATCTAAACAGTGCATAGCTGTCTGTTGAGTCCTTGCTATTCCCAATCACATTTCCCTGTTCTTTCTCACATATACACAGTTCTCTTTGCCAAAGAGAATAAATGTAAGATTCAAAAATAAAGACAACCATACTTACATAAGGCAAGTACAGCTGCACAAATTATTGATTTGTGCAATTTATTTCTAATACAAAATCCAAAATTTTCTGCTTCAGGAATATGCGTCTTGTTCTCAGCTGAATAAATAGAATATGAATCAGGTGCTTGATATTCAAGAAGGCCAAAATTTTGGCTCATCTTAGGTTTAGTAAGTCTCTCTAAATTTGTGGATAATGATAACAATTGTGAAAGGGAAGAAAGCATGGAATGAAATAAGAAATGCATTAACCACAGTGTGCTTTCCAGTACCATGGCAATAAAAATTTCAAGTAGTTTAAAAAGCAGGGGTTAGAAGGGCAGCAATTGATTTATGTGTCCTGTGTCCTACCCACTTCTCTTCCTATAGCAGGAACGGGGATATGTATCACTGGAAGCCAACTCCCACCAGACCTACCAAGTATGTCTGATGGAAAGGATGATGGGTGTTGCAGTTGACATCTGGAGAGCTGCACCCTCCCCACCCCGGCTGTCCAAGAACAACTTTGGAAAAATAATTATCTCAGTCCAAGCTGAACCAAGGGCTCATTGGGTAAAATATACTAGGAAAGAACATTTAATCAGGAATCCTACATTCTTTCTATTATTCTGGAAAGAGTTCTAGATGACATGATAAAACAAGAAGTGAGCCAACACGTACAAAACACAGACATGGCTTCTGTTTTGCTACTTCGAGGTGTAGATGAGGCCCAGCAGTCTAAAAGGTCTCTTCCTAACAAGCCTTAGTTTTGCACTTTCCATACTCCTTAACATTACGTTTCCCCCCTGCTCTTTCTCTCATGTTGAGGGATCCTGGAGAAATGAGAGGTGACTCCTTATTTAAAGAACAGCATGGGCAACTAGGATACTCAGGCTCAATATTCTACCACACCATAGATTTCCTATTCTATCGCATACAAATTACTTCTCATCATTGTGCTGCAGTTTTGTTCTTTTTAAATCCATGTTCAAGGGTGCTGATGCAGAAAATGTATAGAAGGGTACCAGGTGCATCAAGTTTAAAGAAACTTGTATAGTCTAGGGTGCTTCCAGACAGATGGCTCTTAATGTTAGCAGTCAAATGACAAAGCACATCTATCCCAACCTTCCTTCCAGGATTTTGTATATTTTTAACATGAAAGAAACTGTGGGAAAACCTGAGAACATCACAAACATAAGAAAGCACTGCTGTTTGTACCACATGTAAAAATCTATAAACAAAGAAAACTTCAAACTAAAAAGCCTTTTCCAGAAGCTCCCAAATAATAAAATAAACAACACTAATACAGACCAGGGTTTTTTTTTTATGTCCATTGCTTGGGCACAGTGACAGGTTTAGAGGAAAAAGAGCCCTGATGCTATGGGTTCCTCAGGAAGACAGATAAAGAGAAAGAACTAAAAGGGGGGGGGGGGAAGAAGAGAAAGTATGTTTTAAATGGCTCTCATTAAGTCCTGCTGCAGCTTCGTGTGTCGTCCTGGAAGTCTGCTGATGGCTACAAGAGCTGGCTTTCCACTCGAAGTACAGCAATCCAACCAGAACTCTCTGCCTTCCATCTATGTAAGCTATATGGAGACTTTCTTGCTAGGATTTCCATCTGAGGGCCACCTTCCTGCCTGCCTGACCAATTCAATTTGCAGTTCCATTCTGTGGCTTCCTTTTGGGGGATGGGGAAAACATCCAGGTATGTGTGTGTGTTGTCCTTCTGTAATAAGGAGCCTTCATTTGCATTTAAACAGAGGCAGCTGTCTATGAACACGAACCTGTCATGCCTGTCTAAAAGCAATAGCAAAAAGAGTTAGCATCAGTACATATCAGTCTATATCAGGCACAGTACAGAGTAACCTTAGTTATGAAAATACATTGTGTGTGTTTTTTAAGACTTAGATTTGTTTGATATACTTGCATAGGAACACTATTATACCAAAAAATAGGCAAAGTAAATGTTGTTAATAGGTTTGAAATATATAAGCATGACCAGAGAAGACACACCAGCTGCACTTAGAAAGAGGCAGAAAGAAAAGGAAAAAGGAAAAATAAGGAGCCACAGGAGAAACGCACACATAGGTTGTCCATATCAAAACCGCTCTCCCCGGAAGAATAAACACCCACGTGGGCCCAAATCGGACAAAGCATTAAAGGAAATGCTCTCTAGTTAAAGGAAGAAAACGTTAAAGGGTGGCCTGTGCTTGAGTAGCTTAGGAGAGCGACTTCATGTGGAAAAGCTATTCCGGCCGGTAACGAAAGAAAGCGGGGGCCGAGGGAGGCATCAAAGCGGGGGCGAGAACCTCGCCGGATCATCGCCGCAGGTTCGCCAGGCTTTCACATCAGCCCGCCAGTGCCCCTTGCGAGTCCCAAACCGGGCACGAAGCTAACAGCTGTTTACCGCGGAAAGTGCAGCTTTGGGGAGTAGGAGGCGGGGACGAGGAACCCCACAGGCACCCAGGGTGGAGATAGGCGGACCCCCCGCTCAGGCGGGCCGGCCGGCCAAGGCTTCCAAGCAAGGCTCCCAGACCCCCACCCCGGCAACCCACGTTGCTCTTCTGGACGCGCTCTCCCAGCCCACGGACCCCGGGCGCCGGGCCTAGGTCCCTCCCCCGCGCCATTCCTGCCAGCCTCGCGGGTGGGGCGGGTGCTCCTGCCTCTTTCCCAGCAGCGAAGGCGCTCCGGCCCGCGCTTCCCCTGCAGCTCCCGCCGCTCTCCAGAGCCGGCTTTCGCTCATTCCTGCCCCCCGGACTCACCGCTCTCAATCTCGCCGCCCTTCTTGGCCGTGGCCGCGTTGCCCATGACCAGGCGGGGCCGGACGTGGGTTTTGGGCTGGGCCCGCGGGGAGGGGGCGCTCTCCCCGCTCGGTCGGTCCAGGCGGCAGGAGGCTCCGGCTGGGCCCAGCCAGGCCCAATCCCCCCCTCCCCTGCCAGACCCGGTGTCGCCCCCGCCCCCCTCTTCCCCTGGCGGCCGGAGCAGCAAGGGCGCCGCCCCGGTCTCGCATACGATTGGCCGCTCAGCTTGCTCTCGCTCGCTCGTTGGTTCGGTGGGCACAGTCCGCGCTGCTATTGGCTCGCAGGCCCTGACGAACGACTTCCTCATATGCGCCCACGTCCTTCTTGCGCAAAAAGTGTCGGATTGAAGCCGTACGTTTTTAGTCATTCCTTATCATTGGTGAACAGAGGAGTTATGGTCCCACCCCTTTTGTGTGTACCGGCTACTTGGGTAGGCCGGGAGATGAGGGCGCAGCGTTCTATATTTAGAACGTCGAGATTGTCGGCGTTCTAAAGGAATGCCTATTGTGAAGGGTGGAGTTCTGGCGTGGATAGAATGCCTGGAGTCAAGAGGAAGCGAGCAGGGGCGGAACTGGCGGTTATCAAACAGGCAGGGCCGTGAGCTTCAGGGCGCTTTGAAAGGGGGGGGGGTTGGAAAAGAAGTCGATGCAGGGAACCCATCGTGTTGCGTATGTGGGGCTCCCTCTTGCGCAGACCTTTCTTACCGTCCTCGATTGACCGGTAGATGCAGCTGCTTGGCGGTGGTCTAATTAGCAGTGCTCGGATTCGGAGGATCCATATGCTGTCGAGCGTGTGCACGGATTAGTAAATGCACAAGACGCTTTGAAAGCTTCTTTCGTGCTTGCGATCAAGTTGACATCTAAAACAAAAGTGGGTGTTTTCGCCGCTTTTGAATGTATGGAAACGTGTCCACATCCATCCATACTTATTATTCACTAATTTAAATTTTCACAAGCGTGGATTTTCCAAGTCTTGCTAAAGTTGAAGAACTACAATAACAGGGGATGGGCTTGCGGCTTATGTAATGAGCTGATCTTATGCAATAAGATTGAAACCTGGTGTATTGTGCATTGCTGCATTTTGTGACACACGGAGTCTTTGGGGTTTTTTTATAAGGGTTTGTGCCGAGCACCTTACATAATCAACGTAAACACACTGGAGAGTTAACATGAGCAGTGCTATGTTTAGCCATTGTTAAGCCTTCAAGAGGCAGGTGTATAACATCACAAATCAGCAAAAGCAACAGATGTATTATAAATACCAAAATCTTTACTATTTGTTTCAGAAAATTGTTTCCCAGTTTGTCTTTTAACTGTGCCATAACTCCGTCCACCACTGGATAATGCTTTTATTTGGATCAAACGGAACGTAATGGATGTATGCAAGCTTTTGAGTTCTCTATGACTCTTTTTCAAGCAAAGTGGCACAGCGTTTTAGGGGATGAGGAAAGAAATAGAGAAGTCCCTAAATTAGACAAAATAGATAACATGGCAATTTACTGGCTTACAGGCCTTTTGTCCAGCTGTGTTTATGACGGAACTTCAAAAGTCATTAAAGATTACTGTACATGTTAAAATCTGGTACGATCCAGATTACTTGTTAAAACTTGGTGTGCTATACTTTGATCCAAAAGTAATAGTGTGACAGTTACGCCCATGTGAATGTGAGAGGGTATTTCATATGTTCCAGGACATCCATATTCCTGGCACTGAAACTTGGTTTGAGATACCATGTCTTTTAACTGTGCCACAGTATCCAGCTCTGTTTGCCTATCATCTTACATAACTTCTGTACATAGAAATTACCATATGATGCTGTTCTAGTCAGGATGTGACTACACTCTGGATACTCTTAAGTTTTTCCCATTGTTTTAAAGGGAATAAACTTTACATTTAATTAATTGTATCTTGGTTGCTTCAGTATGGTCCTTAGTAATTTGATTCTGGGCAGAAAAGACAGAATTCAAATTAAGTCAATAATTAACAGTGCATCTGAAATCTGAGCATTAGGAGCGAATCACATCTTAATAAATTAATTCCAAGTAGTTATAAATATATTGCACAGCATTTCCAAATGGATGGCAGGTTCAAATTGGAAGCTAACAAATAATCAAACATAAGTATTATGTTAACAAATAATCAGACATAAGTATTATGTCTTAGGTCCCTTTGCTGAGAGAAAGACAAGGTATTAAATCCCAATAATTAATTTACCAATTATAATACAGTACTTCAGCTGTATCTATTGAATTTCTTTCAACCTGTTTTCTGCTGTGTGACATCAAGACTATCTCTAATACTGTATTCTTGCAGTAGTATTTTTGGAAAATATATGCAGCAAAGCAGCCAAGAACTAACCAGGACTGTTATATTTTAAATTAGTTTTGTAATTTGAAATGGGTGAGCTATAGAGGCCATCTGAACACTTCACCAATGTAATCTGTTCTAAACAGATGCAATCCTAATGGAATCGTCTGTAAACTGGAAAGGATAAAATGGAAAGCCACTCCCAGCTGTCACACTGGCAGAAAGTGATCTCAGCAACATTTTGTGGGGTTAAGGTGGCAGTTGTCTTTTTGCTGCCAAGCTGCCTGCCCTGGACTTTCTGTGATTGCTATGGGAGGACCTCCAAAATCTCATCATAGAGAGTTTTTTGCCCCATTTAATCTAGCAATGTATGGCTTTGATGCATTAGGTGGTGGGTATTGGCTGAGGGACATGCTGAGATAGTGTGCCTCTGGGCTAGCTTTTGTTTAGGTGTCACAAATAAGGGGAAAACATCTTCATGGGAATTTCAGTAATCGTGCTTCTGGACTGTATGCCCACATTGCCAGAATGGGCTTCTGAGGCACCTGAACTATTGGCTGGTCTGCCAGTAGGTAGAGTAAGGGGGTTTCTTCAGATAGCAGGTGCCGGGAGGTGGCAACAAGGTGTTGGAGGAAAACGAGGCATAGTGCACAGCTGGCCATGTGCCTGCTAAGCTAACCGGTTGCTTCCAGGTGCTGTAGGAGATGTTTCTCCGTCCTTAATATTCAAGAAACATCCCACTGCCTGGTTGGCTTTTGTGCATGGAAGAGGATCAGGGGCTATTTTGCTCTTTATTGGAAGCATAAAAATGCCTTGGATTAGTTGTTAGGCAGCCTTTGTCATGGTTAGAATGTGTTTGCAGTGGATGGCAGGGCCTCAATGGCTACCTGCCTTTGTGGACAGACTCTGAGTGGGACTCTACGTTGATTGCTGTCAAGAACATTTCCCATCCCCTACGTACATGCTGGCTGGCATCTTTTCCAGCCCCCTGGAGAATTGAGTGTAGATTATTTTCTGCAGTAATTCTAGCATATCAATTTATTCAGTAGCATACCAGCCTCCTTGCAGATCTCTGCATTTTGGATTACTCTGTTGGTGATCGTTGATTTCTGTTAAATAATGTTGAGAGTTACAGTTCTACAGCATCCGGAGGCTCTGTCCAGGGATTACTCAGAGTGCTTGCCAAAGTAATTCCAATTTACCTTTCACGGCTCTGTTCTGTGGAATCCTGGGATATGTAGTTTGATTAGGTACTGAGAAGTCTTTGCTAAAGAGCTCTAGCCCTTGAGTTACAGCAGAGAATTCTAAGTGCCACCCAAGGCTGCAAAAAAAAAAATAGGATTCCATAAGGTGGATCCATGGTAGGTAAAGTGGTGTCAGACTGCTGTAACTCTGTGGTGTAGATTCACTCTTTGCAGAGAACAGGATAGGCATAGTGGATTTAACTGGTTTCAGTTTGTAGTACAAAGTGCACCCAAAAGATCCCTTTAGTTCTTCTTTGTGGTCTCTGTGAATGCACACAAATTTCTGCGCCTGTGCAAGACCTCTCAGAAGTTTCTAGAGCTTAAAAATGTGATTAGTAGGACGTTCCCCTGTGGAGCGCATGCTCGGCCCGCCTGAAGTCCCCTCAGGTCCCGTTAGCTGACGCTTAGGTCAGACCTATCTCGACGAGCTAGAGCAACTTTTCTCGCGATCGGTCTAGTCTACCTTTTTCGTGCCTTCAGGCCTACTATTTCTTTTTCGTTGATGTTCCCCCCATGAGTTATTCTTTTACTTCTCACCTCCCTCTTAATTTAGTTTGTCCTCCTTTCCCCCCAGTCTCCCTTCCCCTTTCCCCCCACTCTTTTATTGCCCCCCCAGGCCGTTTAAGATACCGCTCTCAGATGGCCACGACCATTGTCTTTTTCTGTCTGGGTGAGCAGCACTAGACACAATCCTGCCCGGAGTGTAAGAAATTTACTAAACCGCCTCTGAATCTCTGCAGCGCTTACGATCATACCTTTGGGAGAAGTCCTTTCATCCATCGGCTTCCCCCATGGAATCCACCTCACCTCCTGCTCCTAGACAGGACCCGCCTCAATTGATATCGAGCCCGACACGTTCTCCAAAACCGAGAGATCAATCCAAGGCATCTTCGAAATCAAAACCAACATTGACGTCAAAGAGCTCCTTGACCTGTACCAAGGACCAATCATCTAAGAGTAAAAAAGATAAAGTTAAATCTATAAAGTCTAAAAAACCATCTCTACCCACCCAAATAGATCAACCTCAGACAGCCTTCCCTTCACGGATCTTAGAAGAGTCTTCTAGAGATGCTTCTGACTCTCTATCTGAGAGGGAAGGTATATCCCCTTTGCCTCCCAGCCAGCCTCCTCCTTCGGCAGAGAGCCTGTCGCCTAACATTGGCCTCTTAGTGCCTGATGTACTCTCCAGCCCGGCCTCGGCCCTTTCTAGCCCTGCATCTTCAGGCCAGGCAATATCGTTACAAATCTCTGGCTCTGAATCACCTCATAGGTCTCCTCACAAGCACAAGTTGAAGAGACGACATCAAGAACCCTCTCGATACCATCTGCAGGTTGATTACCAAGATCCTTACTATGTTCAATATGATCCATGCCGTCACCAAGAGGACCTGACTGAGCCATCTTACTATGATGAACCTAAAAGAGTTTGCTACACCTTTCCCTGTCCGCCTCAACACTCTCCTTCAGTGTCAACCTTCTCCACCCGGACACCAACACTGTATCCATGCATCCAAGACGGTGATTTTACCTCAACCTCATACAACTACTGTACTAAACCAGCTCTTAAACGTACTTCCCATGCAACAAATCAACTTCCACCTAAATAGTCCCAACATTCCTCAATCACTACCATCTCCTCACATCATTGACACCACATTCTGTCACTTCAAGTTACCACCACTTACAATGGTCCACTTCCTTCCCCCACTGATACCAAAAACCGTTCAATGACTTTACCCCCTCCCACATCGAAGACTTCAACTTCCATAATCCGACAGTGGTCACTATCATCCGACTCTGCTGTTTCTGAACATGATCCATCTTCTGATGTCTCGCAAGAGTCTCCTTCCAACCTTGGATGTAG